TCCGGGTGTCCTACTGCCGCTGCTGCTGCCGCCCCGCGGCTTGCGTGCTGGCGCTGCGCGGCCCGCACCTTGAACCAGCCCTCGTAGGATCGGTTGACCAGGCCCCACAGCCAGACGGCGGCGTAGCCGGCGGCCACAGACAGGAGCAGGTACATGACGAGCGCGGCGGTGAGGAGGGAGCCGCGGGAGGCGGGGGACAGGAAGCCCAGGGCGGCAAAGAGGAGGGTGATGAAGCCGGAGCACAGGATCTGCACGCCGGAGCCGATCTGGACGCAGAGGGAGAGGGGGTTGGCGGGGGCGCGGAACACGTCGCCGCTCACCATCTTCCACCCAGACTCCTCCACATCCTGGCCCTGGCCTGCTGGTCGCAACAAAAACGAGGAGGGAGGGGAGGGGGCAGGCAGACCGAGGGACCAGGTGAGCAAGGCGGCGAGGAGCACGGTGGGGCAGGCAGGCAGGCAGGCAGGCCGCCCCTGGCTTGCTCCTCCAGAGCAGGCAGGCAGCACGGCCAGCGGCTGCCGGCCCCTCCCAGGCCGCCCCGCCGCGCGCCGCGTGCCAGCAGCCCCCGCCCCCGCCCCCCCCGCCGCACCTCCGTCCACCAGCAGCTGCTCGTAGCGCTGCAGGTCCCTGCGGATGGTGCGCATCATGATCATGGCCACGATGCACGACATGACCACCACCACCATGAGGGAGTTGAGGATGGAGAACCAGTGGACCTGCGGGAGGGTGGAGAGGCGGGGAGGGGATGGGAGGGGAGGGGAGGCAAACGCCGGTGAGGCAAGGCTTGAGGCGGGGCACGGGCAGGCAGCAGGCGGGCCGGCGCCAGTCCCCTCAATCCGGCCTTGCGGGCGGGCAGGAGGGGGCGCGAGAGGGGAGAGGGGGAGCGCCGGCAGCAGAGGTAAGGCGCGCGCACCTTGCCGCCCGGCATGCGCAGGTATGCGTCCCAGCGCGAGGACCAGGTGATGTCGCTGGTGTCCCAGTACACGTCGTACGTGTACACAATCTCGGCGCCTGGGCGGGTACAGGTGGGGGTGGGGGAGGGTGAGGGGAGGCAGGGGGCGGCGCGCGTGTGAAGCGTGGCACTGCAGGGCTGGTCTGCGACACGGGTCCGCACGGTGGTGCGCCAGCCCCGGCTGCACCGCCTGCTCCTGCATCCACACCCGCTGCTCCTGCACGCGCGCTCCGCTTCCCCACCCTTGCAGCGAACCGGCCAGCGCAGCCTCTCCACGCCGCAGGCTCGGCCCCGCCGCGGCCCGCATCCCCAGGCGGCTCACCCTTCTTGACCTCCTGCGGCTCGGGCGCGTTGGCGTCGTCCGGCGACTGGGGGCACATCAGGTTCTTGTTGATGGGCTCCCCCGGCTCGCGCTTGATGGAGCAGGCCACCACCTCGAAGCCCACAATCATGTACATCTTCTGGCCCACGGGCACCACGCGCGGCTCCGGCTTGCCGCGCTTGGTGGCCTTGGCAGCCTTGGCCGCCTTAGCCCGCTTGTCCTTGCGGTCCAGCAGGCGCCGGCCGCCAGCCTGCGGCGGGCAAGAAGGGAGGGTGCGCGAGCGGGGCAGGGGTGAGGCAAGACAGGGCGAATTCGAGCGGCGGCGGTGTGGCAGACTGCCAGAGCAGCCGTGCGGCCGTGTGCCGCAACGGGTGCGCATCAGAGCATGCCGCCATGCAGCCGGCCTGGCCCATCCCCAGCACGACGCAGGCCCGCGCCCCTCGGCCCGGCCGCCCGCGCACCTCGACGGCGGCGGCCGCCTCCACCTCCGCCTCGTCCTGCTTGCTCATCGTGTACTGCCCGTGCGTCTCGTGCACCAGCACCTTGAACATGAGGTGGTTGTTGACGTAGTACTTGTCGTCAACCTGGTACCCAACCTCGTACCCGGGCCGCACTGCCGCAGCAGGCGGGGGCGGGGCGGGAGGGCGGGGTGAGGCGCGGGAGGCGGTGGGGGCAGCAGCAGCGGGGAGGGCCCCCAGGCGGGCTGCCACCGGTAAGGGCGCACACCCGGAGTAGAGGCGGCTGCCGCGCCACCCACCCGACTCTGGGTCCAGCTCCAGGTCATATGTGGTGATGGGCAGGTTGTCCAGGATGAGGCGCACGCGGTACTGCTGCCGGATCTTGTCCTTGAGCATCTGGCGGGAGGCGGGCAGGGGAGGGGGGCAGGAGGGAGAGCAACAGCGACAGGGCCCGTGAGCAGCAGATGCAGAAGACGCCAAGGTGGCGGTGCCAGCCGTGGTGCATACGGGTGCCATCGCAGCATGTGCAGGGCCCCCAGGGCGGTGCCCACCTTGGTCTGCTTCTGGTCCAGCGGCGGGAAGGCGTGGTTGGGGTACTCCTCGCCGTTGCACACCGTCAGGCCCTGCTGCTTGGTCTGCAAGGAGCCAGCGGGGTGGCGGTGGAGGGGAGCGTCGCAGCCTTGGCGGCGTCCAGTGTTGCCTCCCTGCCGATGCAGCCCCCTGCCCAGCCTGGGAGCACCCTAGCAGCAGCGCCCAAGCAGACAAATACCACCGCGGGTGAGGTGCCCCAGGAGGCCGCCAGCGCACCATGATTGTAAAGTTGTAGGGCGAGTTCTGGATCTTGATGCCCAGCAGGATGGTGCCCGGGTTGATGGTGCTGGTGGCGCGCTGCACGCCCTCGGGCGGCTCGCAAAAGGGCATCGAGTAGTAGTCAAAGGGCATCTCTGTCTGCAGGACAAAATCAGTAGAGATGCGGGGAGGAGGGCAAGAGGAGGCGGCCACCAGGTCAGCCTCGGCGCAACCCCACAACATCAGCTGGTGAGTGAATGGCCAACATGCCAGCACCCAGACCGATAGGCAAGCCTACGGCCACACAGCGTGCGGTTTGGGTGTGGCACATGCAAAGTCGGTTGAAAGCCGCTCCCGCTGGCACAAGGCAGGCTGTGTCGTGGCGGCACCGCCGGCGGGTGGCCGCTGCCCCGCCGCTTGGCCACAGCCACCTAAACGGGCTGCATGCACACCTCGGAGGACACCAGGGAGTTGGCCTCAGCTGCAGGGAGCACGCAGGCAAGCGCAGGTTCAGGGCAGGAAGGAGGTGGCAGGAGGGGTGCGGCCGCCGACTGATCAAGACAGTGCATCGTGGGGCCGCTGTAGGAGGCTCCCCACGCCCCGCAGAACTGATCAGGCAATGCAAAAGGGAAGTTCAGGGCAGGGCTGTGCAGGTTGGGGCACGGTCTGGCGCAGGGCAGCCTGTTCGGCGCTCCTGCTCGCCGCTGCGCTCACCCTGAATAACATCGCCCACCAGAAACTCCTACAAGCAGGTGCGAAGGCCGGAAAAGAGCAGGGGTGAGCGGGCTGGCACAGCAATCCTTTGCACGCTCGTTTCCGGCCCCCAACGCCATCGCCACCAATTCATAGGTACCTGTGGGTAAGTACCAGGCAGGTAGTACGCCGAAGCCAAACTCAATCCGCCCAGGAGGGCCAACAGCAAGAGGGCGCGCCTCATACTGGCCCTGCGACCCTGCTGATCGGGCTGTCAAGCCTGTAACGCCGCTCGAATGCCCTGGAATTGCTGGCAGAGCCGACAGAGGGCTGCTGGGCTGCAGCCGTTTGATCGCCAACTGTAGCGCGGAGAGAGCGCAGCTGCGCCTGGCAGGTTCAGAGCTGTTTGCTTGGATGCGGCAGGTCCCTACAGGGCATCAGGTGGCTGCGTTGTGAGGCGTGCATGAAATGCGCCGCTGGAGGGCTCTTGGAAGGCGAGAGCACCGCGCAGCGATCGCTTCCCCGCTTCGTATCGTCGCCACGCCAGGCCCAGAGGGCCGCCCTTTGCACAGAACGCCGCCCTAGTGGATCGCCATGGCACTGCTGGACGCCCAGGCGGTCACCGTGCCCTTTGAGAGCCTCAAGCGAGTCACACGGGAGCGCAAATATGCCATCGAGGAGGTGGAGGGGTTGCTGGGGGAGGTGCAGCAGGCGGCGGGCGGCGCCGGCGGCGAGGCGGGGTCGGAGGCCGCTGCGGCACGCCTGGAGCAGTATGAGAAGCAGCTGCAGGGCCTGAAGCGCAAGGTGGGGCGGGGTTGGGAGGTTGAATGGCTAGGCAGCCATTTGCAAGGTGCTTTGCCTGCGCCTGTCTCCCGGAGCGCCCGCCCCTCTCCCTCTCCGCTCCCAACGCTGTGCCCCCTGCGGTGCCGCCACCCATGTCGCCTGCAGCTGGAGGCGACCAGCCTGTGCGAGCGGCAGGAGCTGGCGCGGTGTCGGGCGCGGCTGCAGCATGTGCACGACCTGGGGCCGCCCGCCAGGGACGCGCAGGTGGAGTGGAGCCGCCGCCGCATTGACCGCCTGCTCGTCGACCACATGCTGCGGGGAGGGTACAACCGCGCGGCGGCGGGGCTGGCGGCCAGCGCGGGCATCGAGGTGCGTCGCGGGGCGCTGCCGCCACGACAGCATGCCAGCAGGCAGCCCAGCTACTGCCCTCGTCCTTTTCTCTAGCCATCCGCAGGCTGCAGCGCATCAAACATCAGCCAACCTACGCGCCACACACCGCAGCTGTGCCCCGCCTGCTGCAGGCGCTGGTGGAGCTGCACATCTTTGGCGGCGCGCAGCGCGTGGTGGAGGCGCTGCGCGGCCACGACTGCGGGCCGGCGCTGGCGTGGTGCGAGGAGAACCGGGCGCGGCTGCGCAAGGCGAAGAGCAAGCTGGAGTTCAAGCTGAGGGTGCAGGTGGGGCAGGGCGGGGCTGGGCTGGGCTGGGCTGGGACAGGGATGGCCACCCTCATGCGGGCACACAGGCAGGCATTGTGCCAGAAATATGGAGCTCCATTCTGTGGTCCCTCCACCCGCCCATCATGCCGCTGTCTTTTCGGCCGCCCATTGTGTGCCTGCAGGAGTTTGTGGAGCTGGTGCGTGCGGGGCAGCAGCTGGAGGCGATCGCGTATGCGCGGCGCCACCTGGCGCCCTGGGCGCCGCAGCACATGCCCGAGCTGCAGCGCGCGGCGGCGCTGCTGGCCTTCCAGGCGGGCACGCAGTGCGCCCCCTACAGGCAGCTGCTGGACGACGCGCGGGTGGGTGGAGCTGGGCGGGAGCTGGAGCTAGCTGCCTGGTTTGTCAACAACATTCCGGCCCGCTGCACTGCTGCCGGCCGTCCACCCGTCAGCAGCGACTGGCTGGCGGATGGATGGGTGGCTGTGGGTTGACAGCCGTACCACCTCCCCGGCCCCGCCGCCTGCCTGCCTGCGCAGTGGCTGGAGCTGGTTGACCTGTTCCACCAGGAGCTGTACCGCCTCAACTGCCTGCCCCCCACATCTCTCCTCTCCATACACCTCCAGGTGGTGCTGCGGGCCGGCGCCTCGACAGGCTTTGCCTTGGCCTGCACCGTGAACTGCCTGCCCAGCTCAGCACCCTCCCACCTGCACCTCGCTTCACCCCGCATCCCGGGACCCCTGCCCCCTGCGCAGGCAGGCCTGTCGGCGCTCAAGACGCCGCTGAGCCTGGCCGACAGCTGCTGCCGCGAGGACCCGCTGCACCTGCCTGCCTTCCGCGCCCTGGCCGAGGGCCTGCCCTTTGCCAAGCACGTCCACTCCAAGCTCATCTGCGCGCTGAGCCACACACTGATGAACGAGCACAACCCGCCCGCCGCACTGCCCAATGGCTACGTGTACAGCCAGAAGGCGCTGCAGGAGATGGCGGCGGCGCACGGCGGCCGCGTCACCTGCCCCCGCACCGGCTTCAGCTGCGACGTGTCCCAGCTGCGGCGCGTGTACGTCAGCTGAGCCGCGGGGGAGAAGTGCGCGGCGAAGCGGAGAGTTTCCTTGAGAAGTCTCCCTTCTTGCTCCCTGCCGAAATGCATGCATCCATACGCTCTCTGTACCAATGCTGCTGTACCGTCACTACTCCCCCTGGCCTTGGAATAAACGTCTCTACCTGTTAAAACCTGCCGGCTGGTGATGGCGAGGCGGCTGGCAAAAGGGGAGTCGGAAAAAATGACACTGCAGGGGTTGCGCGGATCGAGCCCTGCTGCCGCAATGCTGGGAGCAGTGAGAAGGGCATGAAATCTGGGAAGTGATCGGCAGCAGGGCGGCAGGGGGCCCGACGGGATTAGAGGAGAGAGGAGTTCGTTGGGTGCGCAGGCGGTAGTCAAATGCCCGCTGCGAGTCAGCCAGGTCCAGCCAGAACAGAGGGAAAGGGGTATTTGCAGGTTGTCTAGGCGTGGCAGCGGGGACATGTGTGCTACTTCTTGGCGGCGTCCTCCGCCGCCTTCTTGGCCAGCTTCTCCTGCAGCGCCTTGGCGTCGCGCTCCTTGCGCTGCAGCGGGGTCAGCCCGTCCTCCTTGCCCTTGAGCGCGGCTGCCACCTTGTCCTTGCGCTTCTGCGCCCGAGCGCGGTCGGTGTCACGCTGGTTGCCGCGGGTCTGCGCAGCAGCGTGGGCCAGGGAGAGTGGGGTCAGTCTGGGGCAGCGGCTGGGCGGCAGCAGCAGCTGGAAATGACTGGTAGCACAGAGCCTGGCTGCCGCTGGGCAGCGCCACGCCATCCCCGCTGCCGCCGCCGGCTGAGATCTCCTGCTGGCTCCGCCCGTATCAGGCTGCATCCTCAGGTCCCTGCTGCAGCAGGGAAGCGGCGCCCACCATTGTTCACAGGCGTGCAGGAAGGGACGGTTAAAGCGGGCGTCCAGAAGCTGCAGCAGCGTGACACGCCCTGCAAGTGTGCAACGAGGCCTGCCGGTGGAGGGTGGAGTGGTGAAGGCAGAAATGAAGGGCGGCTGCCCGCGTCCCCCATTATTGCCTCGCTGGCGGCCCTTCCAAACAAGACTGCATGAGGCCCGGTCCAGTGTGTGACGCTGCACTGGGCAATTTGGGTCGATAAACAGCGCCCTGCCCTGGCTGCAACAGCAGCGGGAGGTTGCATGGTGGAGGTTGCATGGTGGCAAGAAATACAGCGGCACTCCCTCCTGCCATAGAGCCTCCCCTGGGGCTCACTAGGCAAGCCAGTAGCTAGGCAAGCCAGTAGCTTGCATGGATGGTTGCCCACATGGTGGAGGCGCAAGTGAGCTTGGCCCAAAGGGAGATGAGCCAGGCCAGCAGGGACCAGGCCGCATCATTGAAGGATCAGGGCAATACAGCGTTCAAAGGTGCGCCCTGATTAGACCATCACGCCCATTGACCGACGCCGCTCCCGGCCCATCAACTCGCCGCCCCGCTCGCCGGTGCCCCACCCCGTGGCCTCCCGCAGAGAAGCACTATGCCCTGGCGCAGCAGTTCTACACCAAGGCGCTGGAGGTGGATCCAACCAGCGCGGTGCTCTTTGGCAATCGTGCGTTTGCTGCCATTCGGCTTGAGGTGGGTGGCGGCCGCGTGTGTGTGTGGCCCAGCTGTGCCACAGTCCCTGCTGAGTACCTGGTGCACCGTGTGGATCCCATCAAGCTGCCTCACCAACCCCCCATAGATGTGCATCTGATACTGTGCCACCGGCAGCGCACCCCATCCGGTACTGCCTGTGCGCGATGATGCACCTGGGCCGCGCTGCCTGCCCGTCCACCTTCCGCTCCCGCAGGAGTTTGGTGGCGCGATAGCAGACGCCACCAAGGCTCTGGAGCTGGATCCCAAGTATGCCAAGGTGAGCCTACAGGCAGGGCAGCATGCTGGCCAGTGGCTGCACCCTGGCTGACCTGCACAGCCAAGCAGGTGTCGACGCCACTTTCCATCCACCCCTGCCTCGTTGCCTTGCGTGCAGGCATACTACCGCCGCGGCGACGCCTCGTATGCGCTGGGCCACTTCAAGGACGCGGTGCGCGACTTCCGCGCCGCGATCCGCCTGGCGCCTAGCGACCCAGACCTGCGGCGCAAGGTGCGGCCGCCTGCACCAGCCTGCCTTGCCTGCCCTGTGCCGTGCTGCTGGCTCACCGGGCACCCATGGATGGCTGTCGATGCTGTCAGCAGTGCAGCCTGCCTCCCCTTCCTCAGCCGCTTCCTGGCCATGCCGCCCATCTGCCTGCAGCTGGCAGAGGGGGAGAAGGAGCTCAAGCGGCAGGCGTTTGAGCGGGCGCTGGCGGTGCCTGACGAGGCTCCTGTGTCGGAGCAGATAGTGCTGGAGGACATGGTGGTGGAAGACAGCTACAGCGGGCCGCGCATGGAGGGTGCGACGGCTTCCCTGTGCCAGCGCGGCAGGCCCTGTCGGTGTCGCCATGCCCTGGCGGCCTGGCCCGGCGCAGCGCTGGCAGCTGCAGGAGCTTGGGTGGCGGCCACCCGGCCTGGCTGGCCTCGCCATGCCGTCCACGCTGCGCCTGCGCCTGCCCGGCTCCACCCGCCCTCTGCCCCGCCCTGCCCCCTGCCCCGCCCTGACTGCCTGCAGCGGACGAGCAGGGCAAGCTGCGTGTGACGCCGGAGTTTATGCGGGCCATGCTGGCTGCCTTCAAGGAGGAGCAACTCATACACCGGCGCTACGCGTTTGAGATCATACTGCAGGTGGGTGCTGGGGCGGGTGTGCCAGCTGGCTGTGGGGGCGGGTGGCCGGCTGCTGGGAGGCCGGGATGGCAGCGGTTGGGGTGGGGTAGTGTCCCATGGGTGGGGCCTCGACTCCACCCAGCCTCGGCCCCCTGCTGAACGTGTGTGCCTGGCGCTTCTGCTGCTGCTGCTTCAGGCCCAGGCCATCCTCAAGGCGCTGCCCTCGCTGGTGGACATTGAGGTGGCGGCGGGCACGGAGCTGACGGTGTGCGGGGACACGCACGGCCAGTGAGTGGCGCCGCCCTGCTTTGACCTCCTGCCCCACCCGCCCCGTCCACCTCCCACCCCCACATCCTTGACCCCTGAACATTCCCCACTCTGCCTGCTGCGTCTCCCGCACCGCTCCACTGCCTCCCCGTCTCTTCCCCGCCTGCCACGCCGCGCAGGTTCTACGACCTGCTGCGCATCTTCGACCTCAACGGCCTGCCCTCCGACGCCAACCCCTACCTCTTCAACGGCGACTTTGTGGACCGCGGCAGCTGGAGCGTGGAGGTCATCCTCACGCTGCTGGCCTTCAAGTGCGCCTACCCAGCCCACCTCCACCTCACGCGCGGCAACCACGAGGCCAAGTCCATGAACACCATCTACGGTGCGGTATGGGGGCGGTACGGGGGTGGTACAGTGCGGTACTGCCTTGAGAAAAGCAGGGGTGGTGTGGGGTAAGGACGCGCCTGGTGGCGGCGGGCAGTGTGTCTGCGGCAGATGGGCTCGCATGGAAGCGTGTGGCGATGCCGCCAACCTGGTTCAGTGCCATCCCACCGTGCCAGCTGGGACTGATGGGTGCCTCCCCCACACACCCTGTGCCTGGCCTGCGTGCCGCAGGGTTTGTGGGCGAGGTGAAGGCCAAGTACACGGCGCAGATGGCGGACGTGTTCCGGGAAACCTTCTGCTGGCTGCCGCTGGGCTACTGCATCAACCACAAAGTGCTGGTGGTAAGCGGATGGGTGGGGTGGCGGGGAGGATTCATGCGTTTACGCTTGGCTGGCTGGCTGGCTGGCTGGAGCTGGCTGGGCGGGCACGAGCAGCCAAGGAGCGCTGCCTGCGCTGCTCCAGGCGCTGGTGGCACTCCTCAGCCTTGCACACCATCCCACCCCTGCCCGCCTGCACCGCCCCGTCCCCGCAGGTGCACGGCGGCCCCCCTGTGGCGTGCGGCGCCAGCCTGGACGAGGTGCGCCAGCTGGACCGCAACCGGGAGCCGCCCGAGGATGGGCCCATGTGCGAGATGCTGTGGAACGACCCGCAGGAGCAGCCGGGCATGACGCCCAACAAGGTGGGGCAGGGGGGGCGTGCGCGCGTGTGTGTGTGTGTGTGTGTGTGCGCGTGTGTGTGTGTGTGCGTGTTGGGAGTTTGGAGCAGGGTGGTTCTGGGGTTGGGAGCCTGGGGGGCAGGGGCCCAGGTGCGGGGAAGGGAGCTTGTGGGGAGGGGACTGGCCACCCCACACGCCTACGCCGATGCCCAAACTCGCTCATGGCTCCCCTGTCCCCACCCTGCAACCCTGCAGCGCGGCGTGGGCGTGGCCTTTGGCCCCGACGTGGCCAAGCGCTGGCTGGAGGGCCAGGGGCTGCAGATGGTGGTGCGCAGCCACGAGGTGAAGGAGGAGGGGTACGAGGTGGCACACGATGGCTACACCGTCACCATCTTCTCCGCCCCCAACTACTGCGACCAGATGGGCAACAAGGGCGCCTTCATCCGCTTCGACGCCGACTGCACCCCCTCCTTCACACAGTTTGGCGCGGCGCCGCACCCCGACAAGAAGCCCATGGCGTACGCCGCAGGCGCCTGGGCCTCCATGATGTGAGGCGCGCGCGGCGGGCGGCGCGCGCTGGGGCTGGGCCGTGCGCTGCGTAGCTGCCGCCAGGCGGGTGCAGCCCTGGGCTGCACGCACCCAGGTTACTGGGCAGCAGAAGGCACCCTGCCCCACCTTGTGCTGCCACCTGTGATTGTTCCTTTGTCTGCTCTGCTACCTCCCCTGCTGTCCCGCATCCCTCTCGTTGTACCTCTACCCAATGCACTCTTCCGGCAAACACTGAGCAGCCAGCCACCCGCGAGCCCAGTTTTCTTGCGGCGCCTCTTGCGTGTGCGCCGTTCGGTGGTCTCCAAAACTGCCTTCACCATCCTCCCCTCTCTCTTTCAGCTCCCAGCTCCCACCCCCCTCATTCTTTTCCCGTTGTGTGGTACGTGTGTCATGTATTCATTGCCAAGTAACAACACAAGTATCAGCTGCTCAACACAAGGGATCAATCTTCTGCGCTCTGCGGCAGCGCCGCAGGCGGGGAGCAGGTGAAATGGTGGGTGCAAGGGGCAGCCATCAAAAAGAGAGGAAGCAGAAGGAAAGAACGTATTTTCAGGGGGCATGAAAGGGGGTAGGCTCCTCGGGTGTAGCGTCATTGGATTTGCGGTGTTGAAGAAGGGGCATGAGTTGATGTTGGGAGAGGCGCGAGACAACAGGGATGAAACGAGGGGCAAAAATGTGCTGGGGTGTCGGCTAGTTCAGTGTAGGAATGCATGTATTCCAGTTCTGTCGAACGCGGGGTTTCAGGCGCGGCTCTTCTGCAGCCACCACGCCACCCACTCGCCAAAGTCGAGCGTTTTGCTCTTGTCTGCAGGAGATGCATGAGCGGCAGCATGGAGATGCATGCCATGTCGTCAATTGCATGGAGCTCATTGCGAGGCACCAACACATGCAAACGCAGGCCTGGACCCCGCTCCACCCACCCCTGCCCGCCACTCGCCACCACCACCAGCCCCCAGCCACTGTCCCCCCACCCACCCCACCCACCTGTGTCCAGCAGGTCGAAGGCGGCCCGCACCTCCGCCTCGCTCAGCTCCACCCCGTTCTCGGCGCACAGGCGGCTGAACTCGTCCAGCTGCAGGAAGCCGTCATCGTTGAGGTCGTACTGCGGCGGCGGTGAGGCAGTACAGCTTTGTGAGAGTGGGCGTGTTTGCACGCAGCGGAGGCCCGGAAATCCCCAGCAGCCAGCCCAGCTGCATCCCGCCCCACCCTGGCAAAGACGGCGGCGATGTCGGCAGCGGCGGCATCATCAAGCCCGTACTGCTCCGCATCAAAGCCGTACAGCCGCTGCGCGCGCTCCAGTGTCAGGTACACGCCCAGGCTGGCGAAGAAGTCGTCGGGGTTTTCAGAGGTGGCGTTCTGCATGCCGGCAGCGGGGAGCAGCGAGGATAAGGAGAGGAGAAAGGATGGATGGCACGATGGCGTGCACAGGCTGGAGGCGCGGCCAAAGCCTAGGACAGGGTTTTGCGCCTTGAGAAAATCACCTTGAGCAGCTCCCGAATCTGGTCCAGCGCAGCCAGCACCTTGACAATGTTGACCGCCTGGTTCCAGCAGGAGGCACAAGAAGGGAGGATGAGGCCACTCCCAAGGTTTGGACGCTGCCACACCCAAGGAATGCGGACCGCTGCTGCTGGCAGCTGCTGCCAAGCAAGCCCAGCCCCAACCCAGCATGCCTCCAGGCCTCCTCCCAGCACCTCCCAGTTCTGCCGCTCAGCTGCCACCCCACCTTGTTGGCCTGGTCCACCACGCTTAGGCCGGTGGAGGAGCCGGCAATCTCTTGGACCGCCACCAGGAACGTGTCGGCATTGGTGGAATACCTGCGGGCAACAAGCGGGGTGGGAGGTGGGCAGGGAGCATCTGCGACGCTCGGTCGGTGCAATGCACCATGCAGGCGCCCGAAAGCTTGGTCGGCAGGCCCCGGCCCGCACCTGAAAGCCGCGTACAGCAGGGCGCCCAGGCTGAAGAACTCGAATGATGCGCCGATGAAGAGGTAAATTGCCAGGAAGTACAGCCCGTACTTGGCTGCCAGCGACAGGCTGCCCAGCTCGTCGGCGGTGATGGACTGTGGCAGGGCGGAGGGAGGGCTCCAGAGTGAGGGTTGGCAGGCCAGCAAGCCCCACAGAAAGAGAAGGGACTCAGGAGCCTAGAGTTCTTTCCCTGACCGTCTGCCCAGGCAAGGGCTCACCCTGGCCGCCACGTAGGCGCCCGCGCCCGCCGCGCCGTCGATCAGCAGCTGCAGCCCGATGCGCGTCGACTTGTTGAAGCTTCTCTTCAGGAAGAGCGTGCGCAGACCGTCGGGGCTGGTGGCGCCGCTCTGCCGCCAGATTTGCAGGATGCGCTGCGCTGTGGCCTTGTCTATGCCCTGTACACATGTGAAGATGCGTGCATGCGGCGTTTGGCAAGTTGTAGGTGACAATGGAAGAGGGCGGAAGGCGGCACGCAACGGCGGGCGCCCGCCCGACTCACCATCTTCTTCAGGCTGCTCTCCAGTTCTTGAACGCGCTTCTGCTTGGTCAGCGACGATGTGGAGGGCCCATCCTTGTCCCCCTCCGGCCCGCTGGCAGCCACCAACAACAAGCCGCGACGCAGCGGCCGAGCCGCCCTCTGTGCGGGCAGTGCTGCACTGCGCAAGGGCCGGCAGCACGGCCTGCAGACGACTGCGGCGACCAGCATGGTGCTCAATTGCCTGCACATTGCCGGAAGCGCGATCGATTTCGTCCTGTGCTGCGCTATGCTGTGCGTTGAGAGGGCATCGTCACTTCTACGTTTGCCACGGCCTCTGAACAGCAACAGTGAGATCGCCTGTTGTTACTGATTGTACGCCGGCAGCCTGTGCCCACAGCACCTCACTACCGCTGCCGGATCGCCAAAATGGCAAGCCGCAAGCGAACGCTGCTTAAAGTCATCATTCTAGGAGATAGCGGGTGAGAGGTTGGGTGTTGCTGGCTGTGCCTCCGCTGATCGCCACGCCCTCAGTGCGGAGAGGGGCACCGTGGCCCCACACGCTCGGCAGCCCTGACCGGCCCAAGGCCCCGTGACCAGCGCTGCAGCAGGCTGGGTGCCCACGCTGCAGCGCAGCAGCGCAGGTGCCGCGTCGCTTGCCCCGCTTTGCTGCCACCGCCCCGCCCTGGGCCCCTGCCTGCCTGCGCTGCAGCGTGGGCAAGACGTCGCTGATGAACCAGTACGTGAACAAGAAGTTTAGCAGCCAGTACAAGGCCACCATCGGGGCCGACTTCCTCACAAAGGAGGTACAGGTGGACGACCGGCTGGTCACCATGCAGGCAAGCGCCCGGCAGCGGTGCCGCCTGCAGAGGCCGGGGCCCGGCGGCTGGCTGGCATGCTTGCTGCCAGCAGGCTGCTGGCAGCACCGCCACCACCCTGCTTCTGGGAGGAGCTGGAGAGGGGTTGTGGATTGCGGCGGCAGCAGCAGGCGCTGTGGGCACCGCCCAGAGCCCCCACGCCCCTGCTGCCCTGGCCGCCCCGGCTGCAGATATGGGACACTGCGGGGCAGGAGCGGTTCCAGAGCCTGGGGGTGGCCTTCTACCGCGGCGCCGACTGCTGCGTGCTGGTCTACGACGTCAACTCCTCCAAGACCTTTGACAACCTGGAGAACTGGCGGGACGAGTTCCTGATCCAGGTGGGCGCGGCCTGGGCGCGGGCGGGGTGCTGCGGCGCGCTGCTGGGCATGGCGTGCGCAGCAAGAGAGGGTGGGAGGGGCCTGGCGCTCCCACCTGCCTCCAAGCAACTGCCGCCACCACGCACCGCCACGCCACCCCTGTCCCGCCAACCACTCCTGCCCCGCAGGCCAGCCCCTCTGACCCGGACAACTTCCCCTTTGTGGTGCTGGGCAACAAGGTGGATGTGGAGGGCGGCAAGGCGCGGCAGGTGTCAGAGAAGAAGGCCAAGCAGTGGTGCGGCGCCAAGGGCGGCATCCCGCACTTTGACACCTCGGCCAAGGTCGGTGCACCCGTGGCGGGCAGGGCTGCGGCACACGCGGGAGGCAGGCCTGGTGGGGTGGGGTGGGGGGGTCGCAGGCAGGGAGGTGGATGCGC